GAGCGTAACAAAAACGGCGGATCGTCCGTGATTGGTCGACGAGTTGATACGCCCGATACGCGCGTATCGCGATACGCGCCATGGGACGGCACCCTAAAGCTGAAATTTCATGCGAGCGAAGAAAAGCTGGCTTTTACCCCCTCTCATCGATTTTCGATGAAAATGGCTGATTCAGCGAAAACACGCTGACCACGCTGAAAAGTTCGACTCATTCGAACATTCAGCTTTCAGCTGAAAGTTCACGGTCAAACGCGGGGTCGATAGAATATTAATATTCAGAAAAATTGAAATAAATACGAAAGAAATAGAAGCAATGGATGAAGTAAGTATATACATATGTATTATAGTAACATAAGTATATTTATAGGTTAGATAAATTTCTTATTTTTTCTCTGTACCTCTTATTGTATTTCGCTTCCCTAATCCTACCTTCTTCCCATTGTCTTTGTGTGTCTCCTTCTCTTTTTTCTAATTCTTTTATCATATTCCTTTCCTCCTTCGGCATGCTATCTACTGCAATAATACCCCATCCATTTCTATTATATTATCTAGAACCTTTAAGTGATCCTTAATAGTCTCCTTTTCTATTAAACGCAAAGCCAAGGTAACTGAAAAACTGCACCTCTTCTAATTTTTCATATTAATATTATTAATTTGTATTTCTTATATTGTAGGAAACTGTATCGGTACCGTACACCTGTGGTGTGTGCGAAACTACTTTTGATAAAACAGAATTATTGAAACATCCTTGTTTGCTAGATTATAACAAGTGTCAAATAGATGCAAATTTTTATGTTTATCCTGCACTCGGTAAGTATTATAGTGACAAATTTTTTTATTGCATATTTTATTACATATTTTAAGTAAGAAGTATAATTAGGGGATGTTATTAATACATGCAGATGATGGAAAAATTCTACATAAGAGTTTGGTGGATAGTGCAGAGATTATTGTTACGGAAACCAGCAAAGTCCCAAACCAAAAGACTAATGCAAGTAATTGGCGAAATATAAGGATTATAGAAGAGGAACGTTTAATCGACGAAATTTGTAAACGTCCGCCGTTATGGAATTTTAAACTTCCCCTTATCGAAAGAAGCCTGCAAATAAAAAAAAAACTGTGGGAAGAAGTAACAGAAGCAATGGATGGTAGTATTTAATAGTCATAATTTAACTGGACTAAAATTCGTTCATATTAAATATATTTTTCTTTTCTAGGTAAAATGGACATTATAACTATTAAAAAAAGATGGAAATATCTGTGCGATACTTTCCGAAACCATAAAAATAAGCAGCATCAGCCTAGTGGCTCGGCAGGAATATCGCGTCAAAAAAACTGGATACATTACGAACGGATGCAATTTCTTGACGATGTACAACTTGAAAGCGAGTATGTAT